CTTGCTTCTATACCAGTACCTACAAAACCAATTTCATTCATCTTAACATGCATGCTGGTTGATTCCAAATTGACACAAATCTACAATACATACACAATGTGCGCTGCTATTGAACTAAAAAAATTCTGTTACGTGTTAGCAATTATTGCTGAACACTACTATATTGTTAACTATTGTTTTTTTTATATTAAGTTTATTATATTAATTGAATTGTTGGACAAAAAACATAGTTACCAACTTTTTTGATTAGTTGTGAATTTATAGGAAATGTTGTATACTGTATAATGTTATCTAGAAACATATTTATGCTTTGTCGACTACTCGAAAACGTTCGATAATGTAAAGTGGCATAAAAGGTTAAGAATACTGAGGTAATAGGTACCCCTGAACATCTAATATACCTACTGAAACAACTGAATATCAACAACACAGCAAACGTAAGAGTCAACAACATATACTCCGATAATTTTAAACTAAAAGCCGGTGTTCGTCAAGGATGTATTATCTCTCCTACGTTATTCAATATATAAAGCGAACACATAATGCGCATTGTATTCGACGGATGGCAAGGAGGAATATCAGTTGGAGGCCGAAAAATCAGCAATCTACGCTATGCTGACGACACGTTAGTACTAATATCATCAAAAAATGACCTTGAATACATCATGAACAGACTAGATACTATGAATCGTGAATATGGACTTAAAATTAATGTACAAAAGACCAAAGTAATGATAATCGATGGAATTAGAAATAACCAGCCAGAAATAACCGGGTTTGAAGTGGTAAGCCGTTTCAATTACTTAGGTTCTGTTATCACAAACAATGGTAAACGCGAGGCATAGAGATACGTCGGCGCCTTACAATGGCCAGATCAGCAATGGTCAAATATACTAAAATCTGGAAATATACACACATAACCAGGAACACGAAACTGCGCCTAGTACTGACGCTTATCGTTTCTATCGCTACATATGCGTCAAAAACTTGGACCATTAAAAAGTTCGACTTACGACGTATAGCCTTTGAAATGTGGGTATATCGTAGAATGATACGCATACCCTGCGCACATAAAGCATATCGCACAAATGTTTCAATATTGACAAAACTCGACATCAATACTAGGCTTACTACAATCATCAACCAAAATATATTGAGGTACTTTGGACACATTACCAGACGAATTGAAGGCATGGAGAGGTTGGTGGTATTGGACTGAGAACAAGGCTTTTATACACAAACCTTCGAAGAAGAGATCCAAACATCTACTAGATATGAATATAAATGATTCGGTGCCGAGTTTATCAACCAGGTGTCCTGCCCATTGGTCATTTAGGTCATTTGGTCGATAAACCTGGTCCATTAGAAATATATGTAGGGACGGATTTTCTTTAGTTTTATTTATTATGACCACTCTTTTATTCTTGGTTTATGGGGTCCCATCCTCTCTTTATTCTTTTTCCTATTAGCGTAATGGTCACATCCTTTCCTTTTAAAGCCCATTTCAGTATTCTTTTTGTTATTTCAATCCCCAGGGTAACCGGAGTAAGGATCCCGACTTTGTTTCTTCCCAGCTCTTGCATCTTTTGTACTATTTTTCTACTGGCCTGAGGAACTTCATGATATCTGGTTCTTCTTTTCTATTTAAAAGAACCTTGAATCCGTACTTCTCTTTATTTATCCATTCCCCATTCTTATGGGTAGAGATTGTGATCCTCATAGTCCCCAAACTACCTTCCTCATCCCTTTCCGCTGAAGCAGTCCAACCAATGATACCGCAGTCGCTAATTGACATTTTAGAACAGTTTTTTAAAAGTTTATATTTCTCAGAAAGATAATTTTTAAATCCGATCAGGCTTTTTATAATATATTTTCCAAAACCCAAATTAGAAATTTTTCAACAGTTACTAAAACTATCAGATCCATATGGTACTAAATTTCTATGGGTCAAGGGACACTCAGTTATTGTTGGCAATACTATTGCTGATTCTATAGCTAAAAATCCATTACAGCACCCACATATGGTGATAGAAGAATTTAACACATGTGACCTACTTGCCTATATCAAACAACATATTAAATTTAAATGGGACAGACAATGGATTCAGTTTGGTGAAAGCAGGGGCACTAATTTATACAAATTACAATTCACAGAAGATGTAAAACAATTTTACAAATATGTTACACTAAGCAGAAACACAGTGTCAACTGTCTTAAGATTAAAAGTAGATCATGGATGTTTTCCGAAACATCTACACAAAATAGAAGTTCTCCCAACAGACCGATGTGAGTGTGGAACTAGTATAGCTGATTTAAATTACATATTCTTCAACTGCCCACTACATCGTAATACAAGCTCGTAGCTGATAAAAGAATTGATAAAAGAGGGATTAAGTACACAATTAAACGTAAATCTCCTATTAAGTGAAGACAATATAAAAATGTTTAAAATAATTATGATATTTCTTGTAAAAATTAAATTAAAGGTATGAGTGTAAAATTGATCGTATGCTTGAACATTTCCTTTGTATGTTTACCATATATGTTGCCCACCTACCTAACCGTGGTTTATGTCTTGTTTGTTACAATAAAGCCGCTCTGATGAATCCCTGAGCGTGAAAAGTGTCCTCCTTGTACAATCCTGTATGAATGAATACTAATATTTATAAGTAATTACGTGGCTAAAGGTTTCAAGCCAAAGCCATTAAAAAAAATCTTCCCAAACCACAACTATACATGAATGTGAACGTGAACATTGTATAAAACGTAAACATTCATCAGATATCTTGACTGATCTAAAAAGAAGAAGTTTTTTCCATGTGTGGATTTTTATTATCGCCTTATAGAAAAATCTTCAAAAAATACAATTCAGTTTGTGTCAGATAAAAGTATGGAATTTATATCCTCCAAAAACATCTACCCTTTGAAAAGGCCATGGTGGACAATCTATACCGTAGTATTTAATGAATCCATCACTCTCCCATCTGCTCTTTCTATCTAGTCTATCTAATCAGCCTTAAACGCCCACTCTTGGGCATAGACCTCCCCTGTTAATCTCCATTGGTCTCTATTTTGGGCGATCTGCATCCAGTCCTTTCCTGCCGTTCTCTTAAGGTCGTCAGTCCATCTCATCTGTGGTCTTCCTCTTTTTCTTTTCTTTTCCCATGGTCTCCAGTGTAGAATTCGCTTATTCCATCTTTAATATTTTTGCCGGAGAGTGTGACCGGCGAAGTTCCATTTAAGTTTTGCAACCTGTTTTGATACATCGTTCACCTTTGTTTTTTCTCTGATCCATGAGTTTCTTTTCCTGTCTTTAAGACCGATACCCAGCATCTGTCTTTCCATTGCTCTTTGTGTTTTGGATATCCTGTCGATGTTCTCCTTTGTGAAAGTTCATGTTTGTGAGCCATATGTGATAACTGGTAAAATGCACTGATTGAATACTTTCGTTCGCATGTATTGAGTGAACTTTTTATTTTTTAGAATATATAATAGTTTACCACATGAGGCCCATGCTAGTCTAGTTCTTTTTTGATTTCTTCTATTTGATTATCCCTGTTCAGCTTTATTATCTGTCCTAGGTGTATGTATTCTGCCACCTGCTCTAATTTATTCTGTTTGACTACTATTTCTAATTGGTCTTCTTGGTTTGTCATAGTCTTGGTTTCATCTGCTCTTTATCGCATCCAATTTACTACTTTACTCTACAACACTGAACGCTAAACTCTTCTGTTCTCTCCAACAATATCTCTTTCTCTTTCTTAACACCCTCGCAAATATAATACTAGATTTTAATTTTGCCCATTAAGGAACGTCTGTGTCTCACCTAAGCTCATGTCTCACACACGTCTTTCTCTCATCCATCACAGAAATGAATAGAAAGTGTGCCAGGAATGTGCGAGGTGTCAGTGCTACAAAGGGTGACACTACCAATTATTATGCTTAAGGCATAATTTTAAGAATTTTTATGTAATTAGGTACTCTTCTTCTTCTTCTTAGGGTGCCTGTCCGTTCCGAACGTTGGCGATCATTCTCGCTATGATGATTTTGTTGGTTGCTATACGAAATAGCTGTGTTGAGGTCTTTCTATACCATGCTCTCAGGTTTAGCAAGCCAGGATATTCTTCGTCCTGGGGCTCTTTTTCCTTCAATTTTACCCTGCAAAATGCATTGGAGTAGCTCGTATCTGCCTTGATTTCTCATTATATGTCCCAAGTACTTGAAGAGCTTACGGCTCTTCACAATGTTGGCCAAATCCGCGGTTGTGTTCATCCTCCGCAGTACTTCTTCATTGGTGACTTTGTCTGTCCGTGGTATCTTCAGGATTCTTCTGTATAACCATAATTCAAACGCCTGAAATTTTGATAAAGTTTCCGCCTTCAATGTCCACGTTTGTACTCCATACAGAAGCACTGAGTACACGTAACATTTAAGGAGCCTTATTTTTGTTTTCAGGGTGAGGTCATGGCTTTTGAACACAGAGCTCATAGCCAAGAATGCACTTTTGGCCTTTCCGATGCGACATTTAATCTCTTGGTACTCGTTTCTTTTTAAATATTTTTAAACTTTATAATGTTCTTAATCAGAGTAAAATAGAATTTTGCACAAATAAAATATAGCGCAAAAAATAGAGCACAAAAATATGTTTTATAGCTTAATTACGTAAAATTATTAAACAAGAAGTAAAATTTTAAGGTGTGGCTCTAATAATTTGATCACCCACTGTAATGTAGCCATGGAAAATTCAAAAACTAAATTCACATATCTGAATTTTTAAGTGAATAAGTTTAAAAGTTTATGTAGAGCCTTAAAAAAAAAGAAAAGAGACAAGTGTTTGAAAATCGATTTTTAATTACCCAATATTACATTTTGGTTTATTATTCTAAGTAACTAAAGTCACAAATATGAAGACGGGTTTTTTGTCCAACAATTTTTTTTAGTAGAAGATTCTAATTGGCATTATTTATTTGTTGTTAAACCTTCCTAAATGTTTTTTTCAGATTTAATGAAAACGATTTTTTGTCAATGACTAACTGAGATTCCAAAATGAATTTTGGTTTCAGTAGTTTCGATTTGCAAAAATGCAGCGTTGTCCCTATCTCTACGAGATGAAAGAAAGACTGCTCGAGGACACCATTCCTATGAAAATAATCATGCCTAAGGAAGTACCGCCGCCATGTCCTCCTTTACCAAAGGACCAACAACCACTTATCATTCAACAAAAGCCTGTAGCGACTATAGTTAAAGTAAGAATTGTCATTTAAAAGTTACTATTTGCATGTACCTAAAAAATTCCACCAAGTCCGTCAAAAGGTAACGAAATAATCAGTAGCAAACAATACAAAGACAAGGTTATACGATGTATAGAACAAAATTAATATATTTCTAAAAATATTTAATAAATAATAAACAGAAAGGCTTTATAATATTTTTGTTATTGCAATTCTACGTCATCTAATAAACATACTCCCTCACCATAAATTTTTAAATAGAAACTTTTTTAATTCCTGGGTTTGTCGGTCTGTTATAAACAACTGTTATAATAACAACACTTAATTATTGCTTAAACTTTTCGACTACTTGTCAATTTCAATATGCACTTTATTTTATAAACATTACATTACACAATATTATATTTTATGTTTGCACAAACGTTTGAGAAGAGGGATTAAAAAATTGGTATCTGAACCTGACAGATGGCAGATGACATATAGCAGGTATTTTAAAGTGGTTCAGGTCGTATCTTAAATATCTGCCATGGTGTATTTAAAAAAAAAACAACTTAATTTATTAAATTAATAAATATTTGAACGATATTTGATGTCAGTCTTAGAATTGATAGAATTTAGATCTTTTTTATGTGAATCATCTCTAATATGCATCTTTGTTTGTAGTTTTGATCTTTTATCAAAATCTGTACATTTTAAAATCAAAAGAATGGTAATTTTCTAGCGAATGCTTGGTTAGAGCTATTGTGGGTAATTTGTTGGTTTGAACACTATAGTTGTGTGCAACAACCCTCCTATGTAAATATTGCTGTGTTTTCCCAATATATGTTACATTTCCAAATAACATCCGACTGTTGACCTTTATTAACATTGGGTTTAAATTATGAAAAATATTGTTCAGATGTTTCTATTGGTCCAGATGGTCATTTTTCGGTCTTTGTTGAGCTTCATCTTGGTTTTATTGACTTTTTAAGACATTCCATTGCTATCGAATAACTGAGGCTGCCTTCTTCATCTTTCTTGTTTGGTTTGTTCGTTATCTTGGTCGATTCTGTTTCTATAAGAATTTATGAGATACATGGGTACTTCCGGTAGAGCCCTGTTTGTCGATAGGACACCAATGAAAGGCCGACGGTACTGATGACGAACCAGTACGAAGAGCTCCTTCAGCACATCAAGATCTCGGCTATAAAAGCAGTTTTTTGTCGATAGAATCAATTCAACAATTTATTGATCTGAATATATTTCATTACCATCATTATCTTTGGCTCGACAATCCTTTTTGGATCCTGGTCTGATCTAAGAATCTCATTCGCTGCCATTATGTTTGGTTTCTGGTGACGTGTTGCCTTTTTCTGATTTTTAGGATCCCTAAGTCGGTCTTAACTCTACCTAACCACCTAATTCGCAGTCGGCCTCTGCTTCTTCTTCTTTCTTTCTTCTTCCCTTACCTTTATAGCAATTATGTTGTCTGGCATTCGTGTTATGTGTATCATGTGAACGTTAGGACGTGTGGCTGGTAAAGTTTGCATAAATCAAAGGTATATCTTTTTCGGTCTTGCTCGTTTACAACTCCAAATATTTTGTGGAGTATGTTACTCTTGAATATTCCTAAAAAGGAATTATTAGATTTATTTCTTAGATATCATTATACATTTTGTTCAGTGAAAGTCCATATCTCTGATTCACTTCTGTGGTTGTATTCAATAACTCCTGGAAGGCTTCAGCGAACCTAACTGTCAGCGAATACCACCGTGTCATCGTATTGGCGTATGTGACACTTGAGAAAGGCAATAAGCCGAAACAGCTGTAGTGATAAGATTTAAAATAAATTTTGTGGAAGTTTGAAAACAAAGTTTTCAGTGTTTTATTGTTACAATACGGTTTGACTGTATTTAACGCTTTATGGCAATCTCGTAGCATACACAAGTGGTTTACGACAATATCATCTTCACTATTTTGCAGTGCAACAACCCTATTGCATTAAGGATTGTATATCGGGACATGACACTTAAAAAAAGAAGAATATCTAATGACTAAATCAGGCTTAATTCATACAAAAACTATATTAGATTATATAAAGAAATATAGTATTTTCTAGTTTTACTTATTAATTACTTGTAAAAGGTCTCTACTTCTATTAGTTTTTGGGAGTTTGTTTTGGTGGAATTATTTCGAACCAAGTGAGATGACCTTTAAGGCCGTTCCTTGCGTTTCTGGGCATACCTAAGTTCCAATGTAAAAGTTTATATCAAATAACGCAAAAACTATGGCAGATATTGAGATGATTCTTTTTTTATATGAAAGGTCTTAAAAAGTTCTAGTGCGCTATTTGGTTGTAAATTAATAAATTGTTTAAACAATTTTTTTTTTTCAAATATTTTTGGTTAAAATAAACGTAAAAATTTTTTTTTTGAAATAGGGCACTACAGAATTTGACCCACTTTCCGAATCTGTTTTTATTTTTAACATAAAGTGTAACACAAAGCAGCTATTTGGTATAAACTTTTTTTTAAATCTCAAATTTTGCTAAATGTAACTTTCTCTCTCGGCCAGTACAGGCTGTCCTTGTCGACAGTTTCTGGATTCTCGCCGACACGGTTAGGTTGGTTAGGTAAGAAGTATAATACCCTCTCGAAGGTGGGTCATAAATAATGTTGAATAACATTATTAGGGTTTATTTCGACTTTTGACCACCTTTTGACAAACCAATGTGTTAATTGTTTTTAAAATGGGTAGTTCAAGAAGACGTTTATGTTTGGATTGAGGAAATTTTATATAAATAAGCAGTACCTATAATAAGTAACTATAATTTGATTACATTTTTATATGAATAGAAATATTTTTTGTTGATTTGTTTCTAAATGTTTATACTGTTTTTATAATAATACTATTGTTTCAGTATTTGCTTATATAATAATAATTTATTATGTAGAAACAGCGTAGAATTTTGGTCAATCAGCCAGTACATTTTTTTGTATTTCAATCAGAATTATTATTTTCTTTTCTTCTTTACATAAAAGCTTAGAGTAATACTCAAATATTTTGCATTATTTGAATACGGAATTTGATTATTTATATTTATTGGACAATACCCAAATATTTTGCTGTATTTGAATATGGAATTTGATTATTTATATTTATAGGAATATTTATTTTCAACGTTTTTGTTAGTAAAGTTTACATAATATATGAAGTTTGTTTCTTCACTTGCTTGTCCAGCCATATTAGTCTAGGCTAATAAGGATTTTCTCGTGACACTCAATAATCCAGGTAGCTGACAACTTTTTTAGTTATTAAGAAGAAAACCTACCTGTTTCCTGCGTAAAGTTCGGAGCCGTTTTTTAATGATTAACAATTAATGCAAAAAACGCGATTCTTTCGAATTTTGCACTCTATTATTTATTTATTTATTTTTACGCACAACAGGCCGTTTAGGCCTAGAGCATTTTTTTTACAACATAATTCTAATATTAACTAATTACAATTATTTTAAACAAAACTTTAACTTAAATATCTATATATAACATTCTTAACTACTCTGAAGGACCTGGTGTACAATATTTTTCCATTCGCTTCTATTTTGTGCTTTTTTTTCCATTCCCTCACCTTCACGCGTTTAAGGTCTTCCTCCGCTTTACTAATCCACCTCGTTCTGGGTCTACCTCTTCTTTTGGCGCCGATTAATTTTCTGGTTATTACTAGTTTAGGAATTCTGTTTGCTGCCATTCTTTCCACATGTCCCAACCATCTGATTCTTTGTGCCTTGATGAACTTGGTAATAGTAGGTTCTTTGTATAAAGCCATTAATTCATTGTTGGTTCTTCTCTCCCAACCATCTTCTGCCTTCCGTCCTCTGAATATGCATCTCAATATTTTCCTTTCCCATCTTTCCAGAGTATCCTCTTCCTTCTTATTTAATGTCCAGGCTCACCGGCATATGTTACTGTGGGTCGAATTACTGTTTTATATATTCTGAGTTTACCTTGTCTAGAAACGTATTTTGAGTTTAGTAGGGCTCTTAAACCACCTAATTTTTTATTCCCTTTTGCTATTCTGGCTACGAGCTCCCATTTCTCTTTTCCATTTTCATCGAAAACTACACCTAGGTATTCAAATTTGTCCACCCTTTTAAAACTATAGCTTTTACCATTTACTGACCTCACACTAAAGTCTTCTTTTTTCCCTTCTGTTCCTTCCATGATCATATATTTAGTTTTGTCTTCATTTAGTTCCAATCCAAATTTCTGTGCTTCTTCGATAATTTTCTTTACAACTCTTCTTAATTCTTACTCGGTTTTTGCTAGCATCGTTAGATCATCAGCAAATGCCAAGCACTGGTGCTCATTTTTCATGATCGTTTCTTCCATCCTCATGCTGCATTTTTTGATTACAGTTTCTAATACTAAGTTGAATAATGTAGTGGATAAAGGATCTCCCTGTCTCAAGCCTTTTGCAACCGTAAATTGATCTGATATGTGACCCTGCCAAGCAGGGTGCTAACAGGTCAAGATGCTAATAGAGTAATGCCTCTATAGTTCTTACAATCCAGTTATAATCCAGTCCTTTTTATGCAACGTATATTATTTCATTTAGCCACTCTTCTGGTACAAATTCATTTTGCCATATAAGTACTATTAGTTTATGGGTTACTGCAAAAAGTTGATCATCACCTTTTTTTATATATTTTCCAACAGATTTAATCGATTCCTGTGGCTTTATTGTCTTTGAGTTTTAGGACGGCATTTGACACTTCTATTATTGTTGGGTGTTCACTGTGTAGTTGTCGATGTAGATTTTGTTGATTGTCTATGTTGTAACCTCTTTCAATATCGTGTATATCATATATTATATAAATATATATATGATATAATAATAATGTACTTTTTCTTCTTCTTCAAGTTCCACTCCTATCGGAGATTGGAAATCATTCTGGCAATTATCATTTTGTTGGATATGCGCCTGAATAGTTCAGTTGAATTGCATCCAAAACCATTCAAGGAGATTGCGTAACCACT